AGAGAAGAAAAAAAAAATTAAAAAGTAATAGAACTTGTTGGTTGGGACAAAACTATTTACTAAGAGAAAAGGAAAATTATAATAGTTATTACAACCCTTCAACTGATGCCCCGCTGGACTCCTGAACAGCAGGAGAGAGCAATTAACTCCTGCCCCCTCTTCAGAACTCCTGCATGATGTCGTGTGGTATGGAAAATCCCCTTTGCCCAGTCTAAGTCAGTTGTTCTAATTCCATTCCCTCCCAGCGTCTTGGGTCCTTCACTGAGAAGGTCTTTGGCTTTGTACCACACTGCTCAGCAGCAAGTAGAAACATTGGTGTGTTATCAACATTGTTTTCCCCCTGGAATCAAAACGTGATGTCACACCAGGCACTGCAAAGAAAACAATTCCATCCCAGCTGAAACTAAGACACTATGGAAGCAATGTTGATCAAATTAATGCAGGTCAACCTTACAAATGGTAGCCACGAATACCTGAAATAGTGTGTTTGTAAATGTTTTCTCTCTGTAAAAGGTAGGGTAGCTGGAGAAAGCAAGAATTTCACATCTTAATGCTACTAATTATTTTCAATAAAGTCAGCTCCCAAAAAGGCATAGCTAAAATCTAAATTGCACTGTACATATGTACAGCTGATGATATGCAGCTTTACCCCCAGAGGAATGCTAAAACCTAGGTGAACACAAAAGACAAAAGATAAATAAAATTAGTGCTAGTATCCTGATTGTGAACCTGTGAGCACCTACATACGACCAAGTTTCAACAACTAAACAGTTTCAGAAATGCTCATGAAACTAGCAGCAGCTGAACAACAAAACTGTTTCAATCTGCGCAGTCCTGAGGACAGATTCTGATGCAGAGGTGTTAGTCATCACTAGATGAATCAGACATAAACGAACTGTATGTATCGGGGCATACTGAGACCTCTACCACATAGTTAATGGAAATGTAAAGGATTAAGGAATAATTTTTTTCCTGACATGACTCAATCCCTTTTTACAGGCTGTCAGTTGCTTCAGAGAATACCCATGAAACTTCATCCATCACTGCAGTCCATAAAGCTTTGCATCTACAGGGTAGACAGAGTGACAAGAGGTACAATGAATACAGACATAAGAGATGAGAAGGTTAAGAGGAAAAGAGTAGCTCCTGGGAAAAAAAAATAAATCCAATTATTCCAAGAGCACCTACAAACCTGAAAAAAGTGTAACAGCTCATCCATACATTCCTGGGAAGCTATATCCCTGTGTAACAGGAGGTAGACTAATGAGAACCACTAACCATCCACCCTTCTCTGTATTTATTTTTTCTCCTAGCCTGCATACTGCAGTGGTACCTTTCTTGTCTGACAGCTGCCTTGTACTTGGTGCTATGGTATGCAAAGGTTATTGGAATTTATATGCAAAGCTCAATGAATATAGAATTAAAAAATGCCTCAGAGGCATTCTTGAAATGAGATGCCAAATCTCAGAAGTTGTATCTTTATGAGGAAAATTTGAATACAAAACACCAAGGTTTATGACTCTTGCACATATTAATTCATACCAATATATGTTATAAGAGGACTAAAGAGACTATTTTTCATCTTTGGCTGAGAGAGAAACCCTGCCAGATTTACTGACTCGCTGTGAGAAATCTACTTTAGCTGGCTGATGGATACCTTTTAAATGTAAATCAGAATGGTTAGTTTATCACAGGGCTATCACTAACAGCCTGTAAAATGCTTGGTGTTGCAGGTCACAGGAGATTTGGGAACACGGTGAACAAACCTCTCGGCAAAAAACAGACCCTAAGCTTAACAATTCATATTCTGCTTTGTATGAATGTTACCAGAAATGAAATCAAAACAATTTTTATTATACATCCATCTTCTTGGCAGCTACCAATTACTCTGACTCTGTTGGAGAGACTAGATTTTATAAGATAGTCATATAATAGACTCCCATATTCTTTCCATGTCTGCTGCGTAGGTGTTTTGCCTTTCTGGAGGGGAAAGAGAAAAGCAGTTGTCCTGCAAAGGCCCCAGATGTTCTCTTTAAAAAGTCCTGCCCACAACAGTTCTTTCCAATCTGCTGTTTGTAAACACTTGGGTGTGTTTCCTATTTTCTGTGTCATGATTTTGTCATGTCAGGAAGGCTCAGAAGCTTGAAGTACAGATGCTGGCAACAGGTGATAAAGGCTAGAAATGTCCTCTTCAAACAAACAGTATTTACAGTTAATATTTTCAAATGCATTCAACAACCGGAGCGACAATAGCGATGATATTTGCATCCTGGTACAGATGCTACTGATCTGTTCTTCTGCTGGTAAAAGCAAATAATGTGCTCTCTGCCTCTTTTTCTTGTGCACATGCAAGCACACACAGACAGATGATGAGCTTTCAATCCATCCACAGATGGTTTCCCCATCAGGGCTTACTTTGCCATTTAGATCTCCTGCTTCATAGTCTCCTCTCGGTGTTGCAGTCCCTATTTTCTGTAATTAAATTCTGTTCCTCCCCCCCGTTTTTCTTTTATAAATGCTTTTCATTCTGATGCTTAGAGTCAACTGTCTCCCCAAAGCTCTGTGATATTTAACAGCATCCGGAAAAAATGTGGTTAGAGAATTGGGACACTTAAAGGAGACACTGCTCTCCTAAGTGTGCATTCACATTTATGAATAGATGTTTAGAGGGTGGGAATGTAGATGAAGGAGAATCTATGAAAGGGCTTATTACTAATTAACTGTATCTATTTCTCCCCCTTTTGAACTGCTTTTTTGTTTATAATTTCAGCTGGTAGGGTAATGTGCTAAATTAAAGCTGCAGAACACAATTATAATTAAGATTCAAAAAGCCAATTGCCTGTTAGTAAACTATTAATTGATAATATAAAGCTTATTTACAGCATTTTGCTAAGGATGCTGCAGATTTGCATCAGTAGCTTAGTTGCTAAGCTCCAAACATTTTATTCAGTAGCCTTTTATTTACTGTTGGAGGTAAAAAATTAGTCTTCACAAGCCATCCTTTCTAAAAGTACTTTGCTTTTATCTTGTTTGCGGAGTTCAGCAAACACAGATGCTTCAATCCTTTCCTCTCCTAAAGAACAGCAATAGTGTTATATAACTACTAGCACTTGCCATGCAGAAAACCTTGAAATAACTGAACTACCATGCATAGTTCAGCAAACACAGCATCTTGCATTTCTACAGCTCCATGCTGCTCCATGTTCTAGACTGGAGAAACCAAACCATCTCACCCTTGAGAGGAAGCAGCTGCTTTTGTGTGCAGGCCCAAACATAGGGCTCGTGTTATTGTTTCTTTCACAGGGAGGAGGAAAAAGTGGTTCTAAGAGTTAAAAAACACTGACTGAGGTGATAGATTTTCTTCTCTGTTTGGTGTATGCTACTGCTGGATTAAAAACTGACCTTCATAACTTATTTTAATTTTACAGAACATCTGCATAACTGTCATTTCTGCAGTGGAATGAAATATAAATAGTGGCACCGTGACTTTTTTGTGAGATGTCTCTCTAGTGTCACGTGTTTGTTAACACTTGAGTGGCCTCATATTAGTTAATTATTGAAGCCATTATGAGACATTGCATGTTATCCTGTCACGTGTACAGCAGTAACAGAACCAGCTTAGGCACAGGTGACTATCCGCCACCTACGGAATGTGAGGAACAGCATGACTTTACACCTCACATGCCCACTCACAGACCAGCACGAGCTGCTCTGCAGCAGGTGGCACAGAAGGTAGATAGTTGTTATTCAGCAGAAAAGGCAGTGAGTTGTAGGGACATGGAGATCAGCTCTACGTGTGTACTGAGAGCAGCCCTCTGTGTCACGCTTCAGGGAAATCCAGCAGTGACATCTTGGAAAGTCAGCACTGGAGAGGCAACAGATAAAGCATGAGGATGCCTCACATCTTATTGTGTTAAGGGCTCCTCCCAGCCTCAGTCAGCCATCACAGCCTGTAAATCACAGAATTGCAGAGGTTGGAAGGGATCTATGGAGATCATCTAGTCCAACCTCTCTTCTAATGGTTCTCTATAATAGGTTGCACAGGAAAGTGTCCAGACAGGTCCTGAGTAACTCCAGAGAAGGAAACTCCAGTACTTTTTGTTTACTTTCCAAAGAAACACACTTTACAGTTCAAGCCAGAAAAGTGTATAAGAGTTGTATATGTCACAAATAAAAATGGGTGGGAAGCAAAACACAGCTGTGGGCATCATGAGGAGCTCTGCTGTGATTACAATAGGAAGGGCTGTAGTGCGAGAGCATGCAGGAATCAAAAAGCTTGCAAGGAGCCTAAGGTAACATGTTTTTCCTGCTTTTCTTCTTTTTAAAGCTGTACAATGTCATCTTTCCTCTAGGATGGCTGAGCATAGGGTGATTCCAGGTGATGATTATGCAAGAGATTTCTGCTTCCTAAGCTGCCTATCATGAATTTTAGGGGTGGGCAAGTGAACTGGCTTGCCTCAGGACTTGCCCAATAATTACGTGGTCATTAAGAACCATATCACTGAAGGGTAAATATGTAGTTATTTTTATCCATAAAATCAGCTCTTTCAACTCTAAGATTAATTCCACATTTTTATGCAGCAATATGTAATTACTATAAGACAGCTTCTACCCTCAAAGAAGCAGGCACTATTCCAAGTGAAATCTTTCATAGTTTTAAATAAACCTTGCAACATGACAGCAAGATTTGTCCTCTACCTAATAAAATTTATAAAATTGTAAGGAGAGAAAATACAGTTGCAATAATCTATTAGGAGGCAGAAGTTCCAAGAACTCCTATTCTGTTCAGTTTTGGAATTAAACATACATTTTTAAGAAATAAATGCTTGACTGGGGGAAATGCTGCTGTAGCACTTAAACTTCCTATCTCAGAGTGTTGACTGCTGTGAAATCGACTCCTGTAATGTCTCTAGAAATAGATATCAGATAAAATGTAGATGAAGGGTACCTGTATTATAACTGCTGATGCTCCTTGTAACTGTTTCCATTTCTTGCAGGTACTGCTACGTGATTTACCATGGAAAAATTGCTCTGTGGCATCCTGGTGTTTGGAATGGCTGTCATGGTCAATGCTTGTCCCAAATATTGTGTCTGCCAGAACCTGTCTGAGTCGCTTGGGACTTTGTGTCCCTCAAAGGGTCTACTGTTTGTACCGCTGGACATAGATCGAAGGACTGTTGAGCTTCGACTTGGGGGAAACTTTATTATTAATATCAGCCGACAGGATTTTGCCAATATGTCTGGGCTCGTTGACCTCACATTGTCCAGAAACACCATCAGTTACATACAGCCGTACTCTTTCACTGACTTGGAGAGCCTTCGATCTTTACATCTGGACAGCAACAGGCTGCCTGATATTGGAGAAGATATTTTGAGAGGCTTAATTAACCTTCAGCACTTGATTTTAAACAACAACCAGCTAACCAGCATCTCTGATGAAGCATTTGAGGATTTTTTGCTGACGTTGGAAGACTTAGACCTTTCCTACAATAACCTCCGAAGCATTCCCTGGGAATCTATAAGGAAGATGATAAACTTGCACCAGCTCAGTTTAGATCATAACCTGATAGACTATATTACGGAGGGGACGTTTGCAGATCTTCAGAAATTAGCCAGATTGGATCTAACATCCAACAGACTTCAGAAACTTCCCCCTGACCCTATCTTTGCCAGATCTCAAGTAATTCCATTCGCTGTTACCCCGTTTTCTCCACCTTTGTCTCTCAGCTTTGGGGGTAACCCACTACATTGCAACTGTGAGCTGTTGTGGTTGAGAAGACTTGACAGGGATGACGATATGGAAACTTGTGCTTCTCCTCCAGGTCTAAAAGGAAGGTACTTCTGGTATGTACGGGAGGAAGAATTTGTTTGTGAACCTCCTCTTATCACACAACACACTCACAAGTTGCTGGTTTTAGAAGGGCAAACTGCCACACTTAAATGCAAAGCCATTGGGGATCCCACACCCATTATTCATTGGGTGGCCCCTGATGACCGCCTCATCGGAAACTCTTCAAGGACATCTGTCTATGACAATGGGACCTTAGATATTCTCATCACCACATCCAAGGATTATGGGACTTTCACATGCATAGCAGCCAATGCTGCTGGAGAATCCACTGCAACAATAGAGCTCTCAATTGTTCAGCTCCCTCATCTCAGCAATGGCACAGGCCGAGCTGCCCCACCAAAGTCCAGGCTTTCAGACATCACTAGCTCCAGCAAGTCGAATCGAGGAGAAACAAAAGGCCCACCAGAAAGGGCAGTCCTGGTGTCAGAAGTGACCACTACCTCAGCTTTGGTGAAGTGGACGGTGAGCAAGTCAGCCCCCCGGGTAAAAATGTATCAGTTGCAGTATAACTGTTCGGATGATGAAGTCCTGATCTACAGGTAAATGCAGTTGCTATTTTGTCCTTTGATGGCAGGAGGAGAAAAGCAGGATATAAAGTCTTTTACTCATTGGTCACCAATTTAAATTTGAGCTGAGATAGATATCAGTACTACTGCTAATGGTGTCTGATGAGTCTGTGTTGCATTTGTCAATCTGTTGGATTATCTGTTGGTCTGCTCATCACTTTTATGTCTGTTTTGAACCATACATTACAAGTCTCTATAGTATTTTCTAACTACTGTTTTCAGTAACATTTCCAATTTAGGAAAAAATAATAGTACCTCTGTTGGTATCCTCATTACAAGTCTTAACAAAGAAAGCAAAACTTGACAGGCTGGAAGTCAGAAGTTTCCCTTTCCACCTCCTGTAGGTGGAATTGAAACATACTACTGTGAGAGGAAGCAATGTGGGAGGAAGTTTGTGCTGTCTACCCATAACACAGGCTCTAATTATTCAGCAATTCAAGATTCAGGGTTGTTAACAAGAGATTTTTCACCCATTTGAAATAGCTTGTTTCTAACTTCACTAACATCCATTTTGCACAACTGTAATTGCTGACAGCTTTGGAGCATTTAATGTTTTATACCATATTAAATACAAGGAGAGAGATAATTTTGAAAGCAAGCCTCGAATTCATTAAGCTCTTCCAGTTCTGCTACTTCTTCAACTTCTACTGATGTAAAACAAGTGTTCCTCTTGCAGTGAACCTGACTGTGAAAAAGAAAGAAGTAATAAATTTACAGGATTAAAAATGGGTAGGAAGCAGCTTAACAGAACAGAAAAACAGTGTTACTGCTTATTCCTTCTGTCTGGGAGGAATGATTGATGTAGCATACTCATGCTAATGACAATTCCCTAGAATCCAACCTTGTCTGCTTTTCTATTTCTCTTTCCAGCTTTTCTATTTCTGTACACACACATCACATGCATTGAGATAAAGTTTGTCTTTGGATATATATTAGCTACCAACAGAAGTCAGAATCCAAGGGTGAAATAGAACCAAACACATAAATTCCTACAGCTTTGAAAGAATTCTGAAGCCAGTGAAGAAAAACTGAATCTGTTGTAAGAACGCTGAGTGTTTGGGTTTTGATTCTAATTGAGAGCAAACTTTGTCAGAAGAGTATTTATTCAAATACTGAAAATAAATATGGGGAAACTCAATTCTGTTAACTTCTATTCCTCAATTATAAAAATATGTTGAAATAATCAAATCAATTATCAACTTGGAATTATTTGCCTTATTCAGTTTAGCTAATACACTGTGAAACTGTCAGTTTGAGACCAGCATCTATGTAGAGTTAAGTAGAATGAAAGAATAAGATAAAACTAAGTAATATTGGAATATTTGCAATACAATCAAAGAAAATGTGCTAGTTTTTCTTAAGGCGCAACTTTTGGAAAGTACTTAGCAGCATTGAAGTTCCTGAGCCCAATGCAGGTCTGCGAAAAGTAGTCTGAATGATGCGTACAGTCATGTGAAAATGTATAGTCAATTTGGTGCAGTGAACAAGAATATCCCTGCGAGAGAAAAAAACTTGTGGAGGTTGTCAGGCATTGGAAGTGATTGGATTTGCTGTGAAGTGGGAAGCCAGGGTAAATAAAGCAATGCAGAAGTGAAGTCATGCAGAGGTGAGAGAGTTGAAGAGGGTGATTGGATGCCATGGGCAGAAGCAGATGCCATCTTGCTTGCCAGATCTGGTGGAATAAGAGTCTGTCTCAGTGAGTTTTTCGCCCTGTTGCATTACTTGGTTATAGCTCGGTTTTCCAGAAGCACAGTGAGGACATTTCTATTTTCATAAATCTCCCATGGGGGCTTTATGAGGATTCATTGATAACGTGTAGCTCTTTTCATTCACAGCTCTCAAAAGTGCTTCAACAAAGAAAACAAATTTTATTTCCCTATATTTTGCACAGAGGGAAAATGAAGCATAGGAAGATGAAATGAATTGTCCAGCATCTGAGAGTTAATCAGTGGCACTCATATGCATCAAAACCAGCTCTTATGACTTGCAGCCAGGGAACCACATCATCCCTTAGAGTTAATTAACTAAAATTATTTTGCTTTAATTGGTCGGATGCATGTCACTGCAATGTGTGTATAGAAAAACACAAGGGAAAAAGATTTCTACAGCATTCTGCTCTATAAAGTGTTGTGTATGTGCTAAATGGGATGTGATACTCCTTAGCTACTAAAACGATGGCACTCAATATATGTTCAAACACAGTGGTGTGCCAGGACTGAGGGCCACTGGCTGTGCTCACTTAGGAGCAATCCTGCCTTGCTAGTAAGAAATGTCTTATGCATAAGACAAAAGTTTGCTTTATTCTCCACTCAGCATTTTTCATGGGTGTTGTACTCATGAGTAAGGATTGAAAATCAGTTCTTCCTACCCATTAGAATTAACCTGTTTCTTGGTCATCATGTTCTCACCAATCCCATCTCTGCTTCCATCCCAGCCTTGGGTTTCCTTTTGCAGGAGCCACAGATGGTTCAAAGGGGACACAATAGAATGTAGTGTCCCCATGAAAATTCAGCAGTGTGGGAAATAGTGACAGATATTTTCTGTTAGGCCTTCTGATTTCACTGCTGCACTGGTATCAGAATCTGAAGTTTAGCTCTTGATACACTGGTGCCATCTTATTGAGTATTAATGGAAGGAACACTGCTTACCTGTTTCCTCCATCTGACCGTCTTTTGTATTTGCCATCTCAGGACCGCTGCTGAATCTAGCAGCAGGATTTTTTCCGTTTCAGTGAATACTGGATGCATGTTTCTGATAGTGATCTAATGAATACAGGTCTCAATCAGCACTTTGTTCCACATGGCTTCCCAATGAGAAGGATAAACCCAAAGGGAAGGAAGCAGCAGCTTGTGCAAATGTCTGAAAGGCAGTTCAGTCCACATTAACTTGCAGTGACAACTACTGCCCCTAGTGTCACAAAATAAATAACTTAGGGTGCTACATATTACTTTTTCATTACCGTTGCAAAAGGGAACATGCCTTCTTTTATAGAACATGCACTTAGCTATGTGTGGAATCTCAGTGCTTTTCTTTTGTGCTTTAATCTGTGTCTCTATGGGTAAAAATCCTACAGAAGGGGTTGCTGGGGTTGTATCTCACACACAGGTAAACACCATTGTTTTAATGATCTATATGTGGTCTCATACAGCTCTTCCTCTAACATGTACTTGCACTGCTTCTACTAATCCTGTCATCAAGACAATTAGTTTAATATAGAACCGAACTAAGATTCCTCTTTCTAGGAGACTGGGAGCAAAGGAAAATATTTTGGTATTCTAGAGGGTCATGCTGCCATCCAGAGGGACCTTGTCAGGAAGAATATACAGGCTGACAGGAACCTCACAAATTTCAACAAAGGGAAATTCAACAAAGGGAAATTCAAAGTTTTTCCCTTGAGGAGGAATTTACCCTGTGCAGTAGTATGGGCTAGGGGTCACCAGGCTAGAAAGTAATTTTGCAGGAAGAGATTCAAGGGCCATGGTGTATACTAGCTGACCATAAGCCAGCAGTGTGCCCTTGCCAAAAATAGGCTAACGGTATTCTGGACTGTGCTAGGGAGAGTATTGCCAGAAGGTCCAGGGAGGTGATCATTTCCCTCTGCTCGGCACCAGTGACACAATACTTGGAGTGTTGGGTCCTGTCCTGGGCTCCTCAGGGTAAAAGACAAATGGATGTACTGGAGTGAGTCCAGCAAAAGGCATTGACTAAGAGAGTGGAGCACCTGACAAATAAGGACAGGTGGAGAGAGCTGGAACTGTTCAGTCTGGAGAACAGAAGGCTCAGAAATGATCTCATCAGTGTTTATAAATACCTGAAGGGAGGGTGAAAAAAAGAAAAGTCAGGCTCTTCTCCATGGTGTCCAGTGACAGGACAAGAGGCAGTAGGCACAAACTGAAACACAATGCTCCATCTGAACATGAGGAAACACATTTTGCTGTGAGCAAGCATTGGCACAGGTTGCCTAGAGAGTTTGAGTATCCATCCCTGCAGATATTTAAAAACTATCTGCTTTTGCTACCTGATCTTGGACAGCCTGCAGGAGATAACAGTGCCTGAGCAGTGGGTTTGGGCCAAATTGCCACCAAAGGTGCCTTCCATCTCTGCCATTCTCTGATTCTGTGAACTGTAAGATTAGTTACATTTGTCATTATCTTCGTTTTCTCAAAACCTTTCCCTACCCATACCAGTGCCTCCTGGTAGAAATCTTGAAGAGTGAAACTTGCTAGGAGATTGTGAGATGCAAACAACAGATGGTTCAGTGAACTTCCAGCTTCCCTCTTCCCCCCACCCAGAGCAAAGGAAGATGTTCTCACCGCAGCCAGTGGTACAGCACAACAGGTAGAACTATCTGTTGACACTGTGAACTAATCACTGGAGAAAAGATTTGTTAGATTTCCTTCTAGAAAAGCAGAATACAATTTGCAAAGCTCAGAATCAAGTGACTATGGAGATTTATGTGCTTTTAAATGCAGCAGCTTTTCCATTCTTTCATCATTTTTTTTTGTAATATAAATCACTCTTACGCAGACACGACTGACAGTAAATGTGTATTGTTCTCATCCATTTTAGCCAAGACCAGAAGTCTGTTCCAAAATACACTAAATCACTTCTTATTTGATGGAAACAAGTAACTGCATGAGTGTAGGAAGAGTAACCCATGTCCAGGAGAGAAAGGGAATGGGAGAAAACCAGATGCCTTTCCTTAGGCTTAGGCATAACACTGGGAGCCTTGCTCTACCACAGAAAACCTCTTCTGGGAATGTTAGGAGTACAATCTTCCTCAGTTTGGATTCCCCTTTAAAAATCACTGTAGATATTTAGGAGCATCAGATTAATCATCGGTAGAACTCAGGCACGTGCATGCTTAACATATTTTTAATATGGGATTGAACTAAGATATGAACATTTGGAAAACAGACTCTTTGGGCCTGAGTTTCCCATCTGTAATGGGTGACAGCACTATCTTTACTCATAGGGATAAGCACCATAGAAAATATTGTGCTAACAGGAGTCTACATAAATTAATAGGAAGACTTCCTTTGAAGACATTGTGTGGCAGCATCAGGGATAGGCATAAATGATTAAGGCACAGCATTACATAACCATAACACTTGAATTAAGTAAGGCATCTAGGGATGGAACTGTGTCTTTTTTATGTGTGGTGCGCCCTACATGATGTGGGATCGCTTCTCAGTATTGGCCACCAGGCATTGGTGAAATTAATAAATGCACCATAATTTAAAAGATGAATAAATCTGCAAGTGTTCTGTAGAACTTCCTAGGTTGTAGTGAGCCTGCCGGCTGTGTTTTGAATTAAAGCACTGATGTAGCCACTTAAAAATGTGTATCTGAATTGTGACAGCTGTTAGATTTATGACAGATTTCGGTCTGTTTTATTTTGTGGTATTTCATACTAAGGGTAATAAAAACATCTGCACAAATTAAGAATTACTGTAGCACTACATGCTTTCTAGCTTATAAATTCACCACTGGAAAAAAAAAACAAAACAAATTTTATATATTTCTGAAAGCTTACTTTTTCCATATATATTTTATGTAGCAGG